TCGTGTTTCTGAAAATAGGGATAGCGATAGGGACGAACATTAACAAGATGGGCCTGGGGTAGTAAGTGTATGGAATGGTTATTTTCACGAGTAGGTGGAAGGGTTGAAGGTAGCTGAAATAAGGAGTCATATTTGTGGAGTAGGGTTTAGAGTTTAGGATCACTGATTTGGATTGAAGGAGGCGCTGGTTGTAGAATTTGAATGTGAAAGAAGGCACTAGCCTCATTAGTGTGGATGAGGCGTCGTACCTGTTGGGAAGTAATGAGGTGAAGGCCACCATCCCTCTCACCCCTTAGCTTTATCATCTTATTCTTGAGAAACTTCATACAGAGATCATTATAGTCAGTAAGAATAGGACCCAGAGATTTCATCCATTGAATACTTAACACAATATCAGCACTACTGAGGGGAAGGACGTGTAGGTCAACAGTGAATGTGTGAGACTGAATGTGAATTTTGACTTGAGGACAAATTTGGTGGCATTCAATTTCATTACCATTACCTACCATGACCTTGAGAGAACAAGTGGGTTGGGCCTTCAGCCCAAGGGATTTAACCAACCTTTCTTGTATAAAGTTGTGGGTACTGCCACCATCAACTAGGATAACCGCATTGTGGGTGGAGATGCGGCCCACCAGACGCAGAGTTTCAAGGGCCAAGTGGCCCGAAAGGGCGTGGAAGCTTATTTGGGCTTGGTTAAGAGTCGGGTCGGGTTTCGGTTCAAGTAACAACTCAGATTCAAAAGGAGTCAGAATCACATTTGCCTCTTGTGACTCGTCTTCTTCCATAATAAGAACAAAAAATTTTGACGCACATTTATGACCTGGACTAAACTTCTCATTACAGTTAAAACACAACCCCTTCTCACGGTGAAGAGACATCTCCGTAGGTGTTAGACGTTTGAAATGTGGTAAGGATGGTTTGGGGTTGTTTGGAAAACGGCCAGGGGACGCAACAGGGGTGGGAAGTATACCTTTGTGGCGAGCAGATCTGCGAGCTTCATGGAGTTTCTCTTCCTGCAACCTAGCCAAAGCAGCCGCTTAGATGAGAGATAGTGGTTGTAGCGCCTGAACCTCTCGGCGGACGTCCGGTGCAAGCCCTGAGACAAAGCAGCTTAAGAGGAAACACGGTGGGAGACCCACGATACGGTTTGCAAGCGTCTCAAACTCCGTTAAGTAGTTGTTGACCGACCCTTTTTGAGTGAGTTTGAACAGTGCGCCCTTGGGATCGTCGTATTGTGACGGAGAAAAATGAGCCTCGAGTGCGTGCAACAACGCCGCCCAACTGGTAAGCCGGTCGTTGCGAGACATCCATTGAAACCAGCCGAGAGCCGGTCCTTCCATGTAGAACGATGCAATTGTCAGTCGTTCTGATTCCAGCGTATCATGATACTCAAAAAATTGGTTGATCTTGAAGATCCAACCCAAGGCATCTGTAACATTGAAGCGAGGTACGTCGAGCTTCATGCGATGAGGTTTATTGGAGTTTTGGGGTGAAGTGTAGGACGGAGATCCGGTACCGGGGGAGTGAGATGGTGATTCGAGGGACGAGAGTTTACTGAGAATGTCATCGATTTTGGAAGCAAGAAGTGTTTGTGAGTTGGTCAGAGCGGTTTGATTGGTGGTTAAACAGGAGATAGCATCGGCGATAGCTTTCGATCGAGTGTCGTCCGCCATGGATGGGTTCAATGAAAGCACCAAATTTGTTAGGGGCAGTGATAAATCCTAGAGTTCGAGGAACTAGGGGCCTCCAGAAACAATAGAGAGAAAGAGAATTTGGATAAAATCTGCTTCCTTTCATTCATTGCATACATGCCATTATATAGACTAGTTAATGATGGAAATAACGGAATACAAAATAAGGAAGATCTAGAGAATATTTCTGTAAAATTTAGGTGAGCCACTAATAAGCTGCCAGCTCATTTCCTCCTAACTGAATTTGTTGATTCTCATGTGATGAAATTTTCTAGATACTTTGGTATGTGGACTTTTCTCTTAGGCCTTCCCGTTGCAACATCTTGGGCCACTTTCACTATGTTTTCTTCAGCCCATTTGCTATCAGTATCATTTCCAAAGGTAAATTATGTAATTTTGTTTTAATGCTGCTCACTTACAAAAATTTTAACTAATATTATTGTGATTTGATTATGTGAAATTGGGACAATTTAAATTTTATGCATGTAATACGGCAAACCATGAAGGATCTATTGTAGAAGAATACCGTTTTCAACTTGGAGATGTAAATGATCAACCTGTTAGTCATTTCAAACTGACTTACTTGTAGCAGAATTATTTGCTAGTGTTAAAAAATTAGTTGGTCGATCTTCACGTTACACCCTAACATTAATGAAAAAATTGTAGGCTCATATATGATTTTTAAAAAAATTGTCATATTTTTGACAACTATTTAAAGTAATTAATTTTATTCAACTTGAATTATCTACTACTTAGTCTTATATATATATATATATATATATATATATATATATATATATATATATATATATATATATATATATATATATATATATATATATATATATATATATATATATATATATATATATATATATATATATATATATATATATATATATATATATATATATATATATATATATATATATATATATATATATATATATATATATATATATATATATATATATATATATATATATATATATATATATATATATATATATATATATATATATATATATATATATATATATATATATATATATATATATATATATATATATATATATATATATATATATATATATATATATATATATATATATATATATATATATATATATATATATATATATATATATATATATATATATATATATATATATATATATATATATATATATATATATATATATATATATATATATATATATATATATATATATATATATATATATATATATATATATATATATATATATATATATATATATATATATATATATATATATATATATATATATATATATATATATATATATATATATATATATATACACGAAATTAAAAAATAGACAATTCTGAAATATTACTCAAAGCCAATTAATTTGTGTGACAGGGAGTGCGGTTGAGATAGATAAGAGGTTCATAGAGAATTTTTTTTATTGGTTTTGCAAACATTAGTGTTCTTAAGAAAATTGTTGTTTGTGTTGTATTGATTTTTAATAATAATATAAGACAAAATATTCTTTTTAATTTTTTATCTTTATTTTGGAGTTTATTTTGATCTATCAATTTTAAAAAGTTTTAATTTATACACGTGTCATATGTTTCATTTCTGATGATATCATTCACATAAATTTTTAGATAATTAACGATAAGAATACCCTCAAAACATACTTTAGAAATGACTAATATATTTAATTGACTGATATATTTAATGTGGAATTCAATTATAAAAATGAAAGTGGACCGGTGGTAAAGAATTGTGTCTAACAATCAAGTGGACCAAAGTTTGAATCTTAGTGTGTGTAAATTTTTGATGACCTTTTTAATGAGCATATGTCACATGAGTTCTTTTTAAAAAAATAAGGGATTAAATTGAAATTTTCAAAAATTAACGAACCAAAATAGAACCTGAAATAAAAGGATATTTTGTCATAATACAACTATCTAAATATTATTTATGGTGTTTAGATTTACAACATCTTGACAACATTATTGACCAAGTAAAGATGTTCTCATTATTTTTTCTCACAATCCTTTTCATAAAGTTAAAAGGTTCGCCATACACAATGTTTAATGAATTCAAATTTTAAACATTTACACTAGACAATTTATTAAAAACTTGAAAAATGTAGTTTTTAGTTATTCGAGCAATAATAATTCACAATTAAGATTTTCAAAGGTTCCTTATTATGAAAGATTTATAGAATGTGTTTTATTATGATGCCTTCACAGTGTCCATATTTGAATGTGAATGGGTTAAAAGAAACATTGAGATAAATAATTTAGGTTTCATCTCTTTAAGAAAAAAAGCAGAAAAAGAAATATGCAGTAAAGAAGAAAAATTACGTAAAACTGAGTAAAATGTATATGTGTACATCAACAAGATGGAGCGACATGCACAATTATAGTTCACTAAAACAAATGAAATTGTTATCCTTGTGGATACGAGTGTATAATTTATTTTTAGATAGGATTTTGAATTGAAAATGAAACTTCTTTAATAATGAGGGTTATTTGCTTAGTTAGAGAAAACAAAAGGCTAAATTTCTTCTTTTATATGAATGTCATGTGGTTCGTAACCACCCTTGAACTCATTATGTGGTCTTTGACTTGATGCAATATCGTATTCTCCTAGTAATAGAGTAATTCATTTAAATATATTTAATATTCAATTTTAGGAGCTAGCATTTTTTTTAAAGTGGAATTACATTTCTTGGGTTTTGGTTATGTTTAGCATGTAGCATTTTGTATCGAAAAACTGGTAAAATGCGACAGATGCTGGAGGATTTGTGGCGTCTTGAACTGAGAAGCACGTAAACATGACATTTTTCAATACAGGGAGAACACAGGAGGCCGATGATTCTCAAAAAAAATGTGGTTGTGGATGTGATTACCTACACCGAAGAGAACTTTTTAATGATTTTGCAAATAAAGAGGAGCTGATATCTCCATGGATGATGTATTGATTGACTAAAGCATTGTTTATGATGGAGCTTTTGAAGATGTTTATGCACTTCACAAAGCAATGTTGGTAACATATTTGGTTCTAGATTCTGTTCCTTTTGCACAATGAGATAAAATGCTAAACATCATCATACCAATCTAAAAGTGTGCTTGTTTGGGGAAAACTATGTGAGAGTGGCTGCTACTCTTTCTTGCTTTGGCATCAAAAGCTACACTGGAAAATAAAAACAAGCACAATACTATTGCACCGTAATGTTACAAACTTACAATGATCAAACAGTCGGAGGAGACATAACTATGTCTTCCCTTTTGCCTCAAAAAAATAAACTATGCCTTTCCTTTACCAGCCTGAAGAGTTTGCATCTTTTGCTGCAATTTCAGTATCTGCAATGTGACATAATAAATTGATGCAAACAGTTACTTATATTGCACTTACCAAGGCATGCAATTTCAGATTATGTTAGAGGACACTTAACATGAGACATAGAAACATGACATGTTATATGTTCTCTTAATAACCGATGATCTAATCAAGCAATATACACATGAGACCATCCAAGGGATAAGGGTTGGAATTAAGACTGCCCTAGATAAAACATAGGACCCACTATATGTTGTAACGTTAGAGGCCAATCTAGTAGCTAGGATTTACCAAATGGTATTCAATAATTCTTTTACATGAGAAATGATTTAAAAGCCAAAGCTTAAAAAGTAAGTAAAAGTTACAAACCGTTTCTTTCTTGCTATTCTGCTTCTCTTCCAAATCTTGAACAGTGGAATCAAGACGCTTCCTGACACACAAAGAGATGTAAGCTTATGTGTGATGATAACAATAACAATAGTAATTCTTGAGATACCAAAACCAACCAACCAATAACAAAACCTAAAATGATAACATAAATCATGAAGCAAGCCGGCAACAATGAAGGGTAGATGTTGGCTAGGGTGGTGTGACTGCTATATCACAATAATTTGATAAGTTTAACATCAGAGTCAATTGCCTAAATAACCCTCGATTTTTAGCTGGGCTTAAGATTGATAATGTAAAGATTTGCAACAAAGCAGAAATAAGCAAGTTTAGCAACTCAGCCTATTTCATGGTTAGATATTTTAAGGATAACCTACTAAATGGTACTTTCATGTATTATTTGTTTATTGTAACCCTTAACTTAGATATTCAAATACACCCTGACATTGAAGTATACAAGATTTAAAAAGAATTACGAATGTAATAACATATGAAAGTTTCACAGAGAAACAAAGATCAAGAGGTGTCAGGACAGAAACTTCATGTCAAAGCAGATTAGTTAAGCAGATGCACTGGTGGGAAATGAGAGTTCACGCTCAAGACCTTATGAATCTCTCGTAACTTATGAGAGAAACACATTTAGATAGTAACAAAATCAAATTCTACAACAAAGTGAATTGCTACATCGAACAATATGTATTATTGTGAAACAACAAGAACTTGAAATACAAAAGCGGAGTGATAGGAACTCAATCAGAAAGAAGAGTAAGAAAACACAAGAAAATAATCATGTATAGAACTGAAAGAGAGAATTTCCTAGCATTTTCGAGAGCCTTAGACTCTTCACACCACAAAATGTCTAATCCCTTGCCCTTACAGTTTTCTGCCCCTCCTGTCCACTCCCTTCCTTAGCTTTCTTAACTAACTAACCAAAGCTAGTTGTCTATTACAAGGACCTGTAAACTTATTTGACTGATCCAAAAGGTTTAATACCATACTCCTTTCCCATTTCTAATTTCACCAAACAGACCTTCCTAATAGGGAGTTGCTGCCTATCAATACTCCCACCCACCCCCCCACCCCCCACACACTCCCAAGCTATCTTCACATTGGGTAATTTTGGGACTTTCAATGTAAGGAGCGATCAAAATGACCTGCTAACATAGAACCGGCCCAAGCCCAATATGTGACACATTTATGTTAGAGGAAATAGTACCACATCAAAGCATTTTCCTTCCTTCTATTTGTTATGTTATTTTTGGTTTTCCTTCAAACAGGTCCAACCTGTCGAACTCGCAAGAAGGAAGGTGTTTCTTTCTTCATTGAAGGATCAACATATTGACGAATTTGATGCCACCAAATAAAATGGAGATGAAGCTTTGGAGAAAAAAATGGATGCCATCGGGTTGACTCTCACCGCAATACTCCCTCCGTCCCACAGTACAATGTCATTCTATCAACAACAAAAAAGTTTGTCCCAACCTATATGTCATTTTCTCTATTATAAGCATTACTATTTATTACTTCTATTTCCATTTCTTTCAATTTCTCTTTCTCATATACCATTAATGAAGAGTAATTGTGTAAAGTAGCACATAATTTCTCTTTCCCATACAAAAGTAACTACCTTACTTAATTTGTGTGCAATTGCTAAAGTGACGTATTTTGGCATAGAGGGAGTAGAATTGAAATCACAGGAGACTCACAAAATAATTGATAGTAGAAAGGAAACAGGAGAGATTGATCACAAATCACAATGCTCATAAACACGGAGGAAGGTAACCCTAACAAGTCAATCACAAAACCCATGGCGAGAAGATTATTGACAAGAACAAATTAGGGAGGGAATTCAAGTTAATTTGGCGTAGTTATGTATTGAAGGGCCAGCCATTCATTTTTTTTCCAAATATGTGCTTGATGGAGAAGCCGAGCTGACTTGAGAGCAACTCAAAGGTGAAATACTTGAGTGATATAGTGGAAACTGTGAAGAAGATGTATTTGAGAAGCTAGCATATCATCAATAAGTGGGTAGCATGAAGGAGTGTATCCAAGAGTTTGAGAGGCTGACTTCCCAAGTGAAATACATGAAAATTTTATCCACAGACTGAAGGAGGGGAATTTAGGGGCAAGTCCAAAGCATGCAAATGTTGAGATCCCGGTCTTGCTAATGGCTGATGATGAATGTAACGAAAGCAGTAGCAGTATTATTGAGTGCAGATGGCAGACTTCCAAGGTCCACCATTTGACGGTGTTAACAAAAGCAGTAGCAGTATTATTGTGGGCACTGCTATCCTTCACAAATTTGGCCATGGCATTGAGCCAAAAAAAACCACCAATATCCGCCATGGCCGATAATTAACAACATTGAGCAGTAGAGAGAAAATTACATGAAAAAAGAGAGGAAGCTGGAATGGGTTGACAGATGCTGGGGCCAAAAACAGTGTTGAGTCAAGTCCCAATTATTTATGCCTTGGGACCCACTGTTATTATCAAAAGTTCCATCGTTTGTTCCAGCCTTGTGAGCATTCATTACTACTTGATTTTGGCTCCAACTCCCGATTGTCCTCTTGGTACGACTCCAGTCTGGCCTCCATTCTAGTCGAAACCATGTAAGTTTCCAGTGAATTCAAAACCCAGTGCTCTTGGATGGAACTGTGATACCAGTTTGATACCAACTGTATCAGAAAGAGGAGAGGTAAAAGAAAGACAAGAATTTTTTAGTGAACTGAGAGAGAACTAACTCAAGTATTCGAGACACTTGAACTCTCCTATTCCCAATATGTCTAATCACACATTTGCAACTCTCTGTCCCTTCCTTATATTCCCTTCCTCACATTTCAAAACTAACTAATCAAAGTTAACTAACTATTATAAGGACCTATATCTGTATTTACAGATCAAGAAGGTTTATTCCTCTGCTCCTCTCCTATTCCTAAAAACATACACCTTCCTAATAGGGAGTTTCTTCATATAAAAAACCTGAAGGTGAGTCTTATCCCAACAGTAAGGTTTCCTCCCTAAGGCTTCATTGTCGCAATATCTAATCATAGCATTTGTAAGCATTTAAAATAAATTAGTTTCAGTGTTTCTCATTTTCATCTTTTTTTTATTTAACAATAACAGCATAAAGAAAGTAGCAACATGAAGAAAATAAAAATTAGAAAAGAAGCTTTACAATTCAGCAGAGATGTATTCGATTCTCTTGCGCACATTAGCATTGGCCTCAGCCAAATCTTGCTTGACAAGAACAGGACCAATCAACTTGTAAACATTTGCATCTTCTTTCAATAAATCCAGTTCCTATAGAAACAAAATCAAAAGAATAACAATATCAAACAAAACAATCGGTGAAACATTTTGTCTACTAATTATAGTGATTGAACTAGTTTACCATAAAACACAATCTCGAATACTCTTCTAAGTTTGATAAAACCCTGATAAATGGACGATTTGCAAAAAGGTAAAAGGAAACATTTTTGGCGCAAAATAGATTAAAGGGTACCTTAAGGACGAGTTCATTTTCACCAAGCTGGATAGTGTACTTCTTTCTGACTTGGTGATTCTTGGCAATATCTGCAAAAAGTTGTCAATTTTAAAGGAATTAAGAGAAGTGTAAACAAATCGAATAGATAAATAAGGGGGGAATGGTGTAATGAATCTTACCCTTTTGAAGTTTGCTTAGATCGTTTGCTTTGTTCTCCAATTCGCGTTGAAGATCTCTAATGTTGGAAGAACTCATGTTGTAAATTGGGAACTCGTTTCTTAGCTTTCACAAGAAACTATTTTCTGAATTTTATGGGAATGTTGCTTTTGGGTTTATGTAATGTCTAAACCCATCAACATTTCGTTTTCCAAATGGACTAAGAGCTCATGGGAGTTAATTTTTGCACCCGTGTCATTTTTGGTACACCGCCCCTTTTCGATTAGTTTTCTCTTCAACCAAAGAGCAATAATGTTTTAAAACCCGAATCAAATCCGATTTAAGGTTCACATGATTCAATCGGTTAAACACATAACTAAACTATTTATTAAATAAATTAATAATATGTATTGTACTCTAAAATTTGACCAACCGGTTTTTGCAACTGACTTTTGTTTCTTTGCATTTTGCATTTTTGCGCATATCATAGCCTTTGTTCCCGAGGCATGGGATCGAGGTATTCATGTGGCTCAGGTTCATTTCGGCGCAAAAGACTGAACAGCGAATAGCGAGCATCAGAGGCTCGGGCATTTATTTTGCTCAACGGTCAAGCGGCCGATTTTATTTTATTTTGCAGGATAACAGCAGTTCAGAAAGCAGCACTCAGGCTCATGTCAAGCATTTTTTACAGTGATGACGTTCAAGAACAAGATTCAGAAGCTTAACGAAACTCCAAACAGTTGAAACAGGGCAAACGGACAGATTTCCCTCCAAAAGGCGCCAAATTCAAATTTTTGAAGGTGTTAATCGGTTAACGCATATGGTTAACCGATTAACCAAGTCAAATCAGGCCAGATTTAAAATTTTAAAGGTGTTAATCAATTAACACATATGGTTAATCGATTAACCAGTGCAATTTTTGCCTCTGCACGTGAATTTTCAATGCAGAGCCATTTGGGGTCCAATTGTGATCACTTGAATTCAAATTTTACACTTGGGAAGGATCTAGAATCATTTCAGAATTTGATTAATTTCATTTTTCCTCCAAAATCTCATTCCTCATCCCAAACCAAAATTCACAAACCAACTTCCAAGCCTTTCCTTTGGATCCAAACCTAGGTGATATTTAAGTGATTCACTCCAAACCAAAGGGATCCAATTTTCATTTCTCACTCTCATTTTTCAGAATTCATCTCAATTCTCTCAAACTCTCTCAACTTTCCAATTCCAAAACCCTCACTCAAAGCTCTTTTCCATTGAACTCTTTGATTCTTCCATGGAATCAATGAATTCTTGAGCTCAAACCTCCATCCATCATCTCAATTGAAGTGATTTCTCCATCCAATTTTCGTGCACAATTGGATCCAGATCTGGAAGTGATTTTGGAAGTGATTATTTGGCTTATTTTGGATTAATCTTGAAGGATCTCCATTGCTACAACAAGAATTGGTGTGGATCTTGAAGTATTCCGGACTTCTAGCATCGGATATGTTCAACTCCAGTTAATTCAACATTAACCGAAGCAAATCTTCGCTTCGAAGGTTGGAATCCTAGAACCATAGCATTTTTGAGCTTATTTGCATGTTCATGTTGATTTTCATATTCGATTGAATTTTGGTTGACATGATTGTGGATGTTGTTGTTTGGATCTATTTACATGCTATTTAAATCATGATTTGCTGGTTAAATTTCGTGATTAAGTGATTATGCAATCATCTGGTTGATCGGATAAGTGCTTATTTGCTGCACATGCTGTTTTGTTTCTGATTTTCTGCTGTTGGCACAGTGTTAATCGGTTAACGCATATGGTTAACCGATTAACCATTACAAATTTCCAGATTTTTCAAAGTTTTCAGAGCCTTAATCAGTTAACGCATATGGTTAACCGATTAACCAGTTCAGATTTTCAAAATTTTTAAACATTAACAGTATGTTAACCGATTAACCCTGGGGGTTAACCGATTAACATTGTGCTGGCAGGCCTGTTTTGCTGCTTTGTTTGATTGTTTGTGTACCGTTTCATCTCGAATCATCATAGATCAATGTGATGTATTATGGATGAAATTTTTCTAGATATATGTTGCTATTTTGGTTGTTTAATCGAGATTTTGCCGACATTCGTGTCTTTCCCACTTGAATACATGCTTATGGATGTGGTTCAACGTGATGATCTCTTGCATGTTCATTTGCTTTCATCTCTTTTGCGCTTCCTCCATGTTTGCATCATTTTTGCATCGCTGTTGAGGTCGAGATGCGCTTGTGGCGGCTACTGCCCCACACATTTTTCCTCCCTCCCTCCATTCTAAGTGTGCATTTTCATGTTTGCATCTTTTATTTGTGATTGAATTTACTTTGTGCTTTCTTGTGCTTTTTGCCATGATCCCCATAGGGTTCCTAGTCCCTCAGTTTAGGATGGGAGTAGGAGAGACATTAGGTGTTCAATCCAAGCATGCTAACATTAGGGTAGATGTTCCCCTTTTTTTATCCTAACCTTAGAACCACTTTGCATGACAACGTTAGGGCCAAGTTTCCCTTAGACCTTCTGTGCGTCTCTCTTCTCATCTCAAAACAATTCTAACTCATCTAATAAATGCGATAAACGTTGCGCGTTACGAGCCTTAAGCTACATGGGGAATGATGAGTGAGGGGTCTCCTCTCGCTTATCTAGAGTGTTTAGTGTACGTCCCGTTTGGGGGTGATACATGACACATTCGCCTCCATGTCATAGTCGTTAGTGCAACGTGAATCACAAACCGAATTAATTCACTTCACTAAAAAACACAAAACAAAACTTCAAACCTTTTTCCTTCGGGATTAATCAAACTTCCTTTTTTCAAAAAAGAGTGTTAACCTCCCTAACGGCTAGAACGGAGGTTTAACCTTACTCGATTAAAACACTTAATCAACCTGTGGTTTCGTGTAAGCCTGAACTACGTTTGCTCTGATTTCTCATGCCAGATGAGGATACGTAGGCACAAGACGCGATGTCTTGGCGAGCAACCTTCCCCCCTTTCACCCATAGTTAGCCGAACTACGTTGACTCTGACTTTCCCATTGTACAAGGGAATACGTAGGCACAGAGCGGCGATGCTCTGCCGAGTCACTTTTCTTTTTCTTTTCGTCCTATGAGCCTTTAGCGTAGATAGTTAAACACACCATTAGATAGACAACAAGCGTGGATCCCGTCGAGTATGACGGATGTGAGGGGTGCTAATACCTTCCCCTTGCGTAACCGACTCCCGAATCCAGGACTTGGTTACGATGAACTTGTCTTTTCCCTTTTCGTCAGGTTTTTTCGATCGTTTGCTTTCCTTTTCTTTGGGATAAATAACGAAAGGTGACGAATCTTCTGTTTTCCGCCGGGTGTTTTTCGCAGTTGTGACTGTTGGCGACTCTGCTAGGGACTTCTTTTGCAGTCTCGCCTTGTTTTACTTTCTGGCTGTCTGGGCTCCCCAGCAGCTAGCGACTCTATTGGGGACTGCGATGGTTCCCTATGCAAGTCACTCCTAGCGCTTGTCTGTTTGCGTCTTTGGGTGTTTACTTTTGTGCAGTTTTTGCTTTATGTACATTATCTGTTGTATTATTGCATTTTGCATTCTTGTCGCTGTTGTGTTGTGGGTTGGGTTATTCCATTGAGAGATAAGTCGGACTTGGGCTTGAGTATACACATAGTATTAGAGTGGAGATTAGGGGGAGCTTGTGTGGCGTTTGGCCGCGCAATAGCTCGTGCAAAATTCACGTTCAGACGAGGTTTTTCTTTGGAAATATTATATCTTGCGCATCTGGTGCAGTTGAGGGAATATTGACTTAGAGAGACTGTCGACTCTGGAGACCGTTCATTTGAGGATGATACGTTCACCATTTCTGGTTTGGCATCATAGTCTAACGAAGAGGCCTCACTTTTTCTCTTCAGTGCGGAATTTTGATTCTGAGTGTTCCATCTAGTGTATTATCTCAGTGTTCTGATTAGAGCGGAGCTCTGGTTGAATTCAGTCAACGGCACTGCAGCAAGTTTTGATCATTGGATACCTTGATCCCATGTTTGCATTTGCATAATCATTCTGCATTTAACATTGCATGTCTATGTGTTTGAAATGTTCTCTTCTTTCCCTTGATCATGGTACTGATCTGTTGTATACAGGTTTCCGATACTTGAGCTAGGACCTTTATTTGGTCTGATTTCCATGGCCGAGCCTGGCGTCTTTGAAACCTTCCGGAATGATCTTACCTGATATGTGGGAGGATTATTGTGGTGTTCTTATCCATCTCTGCTGTTCTTGTTTATTGAAACTAGAATCAAGGGGGAGATCTCCCTGTAAATACATAGACATGTTTGCATTTTGCATTCTCATGTGCATAGCAGGTGGTTCTCAGCGGCCTCGTCTTCTTATCTCTGCTTGGTTTTCTTCAGTAGCAGGATTGAGGAGTTCAGTTTCCGTAGATATCCAACTCGAGGGAATCAGCGAAGAGTAATCGATCATATTCGGGCTGAATTGAAGGAAGTTCGAAGCCATATGGGGCAGTTCATGGCAGGTATGCAGGTCTTATGTCTGGAGCAGAAGACGCTTAAGGAGGAGGTTCAGCAACTGAAATCTCAGATGGGCCTAATAACAGAGGTGGTAAGGAATGTGCTAAGAAAGGAGGGTGATCAGATGCCTGAAGCCGCCGCAGAAATGGTTATTCCACCCATGCCTGTGGAATCTCTCCCAAGGTGTGATGTGCCTCAAAGACCCGTTGTACAACCTGGGGTCCCAAAGTTTCCCCGTCAGCAGATACCTCTTATTCCCCGAGACAATCTTAGGACTAGGAGGTATATGCAAAGGACGAAGCAGCTCGAGAGAACCTTCGACCAGATCCCTGTGACATATGCGCAGTTGTTGCAGCTCTTACTTCAACTGCAATTGGTTAAACTTTGGATTATGTCTCCACTTACGGGTGAGATACCACTGAGCTTTGATGTAAGTTCTCACTGTGATTTTCATTCTAGGGCACCACATCGAGAACTGCAAAGCTTTTAAGTACCAGGTTCAAGATCTAATTGATGTAAAGGCAGTTGAATTCGCGTCGGGCGGCGTAAGTGTACCAGGTGGGCTTGGTTC